TTATAATTTTATAAATTATAAAATTATTTTAAGTGAGATAGAATTTTATTTCTCTATCTCCCTTCTAGTTTTTTTTGTGTGTGTCTGTCATGGGGCTTGAACTCTGGGCCTGAGCGCTGTCCCTCAGCTCTTCAGCTCAAGGCTAGCTCTCTACCACTTGAGCTACAGCATCACTTCCGGTTTTCTGGTGGTTTATTGGAGATAAGAGTTTCACGGACTTTCCTGCCCAGGCTGGCTTTGAACCACGATCCTCAGATCTCAGCCTCCTGAGTAGCTAGGATTACAGGCATGAGCCACCGGCGCCTGGATTCTCCCTCTTAGTTTTTTTTCCTCTACTTTAGCAGACATTTTATAAGTTATCCTAAAGAGAAATAATCATTCAGGTGATGACAGACTTTCACAGTGGTTTTAGAAATTTTTAAAACTCACTCTACAGGGATATCTTTTTGAAGCAATTATTTTTCTTGTTTATTGAATACACTTTTTTACCAAAAGGTTTACATTTCATGTATGTGAAAGGTAAGATAATTATATCACCTTAGATTTGGTTTAATGTGTATGAAATTGAGCTATGACTAAATATATAATGTGTACAAATTATATAATGTTAGCTTTTGAGGCTAACACCGTGTCTGCTATATTTTTCCCAAAATTCAAGTGAGAAATGGGTGACTTCTCATCCATTCAATATCTGTTATAGATGGATGTGAGATGGGCAAAGAAATTTTCTTCTAATCCGCTTCCTTGGTGTGTTAATCTTAATGAATCTATATTTTTCAGCAATGATATGAAGATGTATATGGAAAGTTAATTCTTCACACGTGTACTCGGTCTATGTACTAAATACCAATTGATAATAGTCAGCTCAGGCCACCATAACAGGACACCAGAAACCACAGAAAGTTATTTTCTCACTGTTGTGAACATGGGGTCTGTTTCCCTGACTTGCCTTCTCTCTGTGCACATGTGTCCTTGATGTTGTGTTGGTTTTGCATAGGGCTCTTGTCTTGGTTGATTAGGCCCCACTATTTTGAGTTCACTTAACAGTAATTATCTCCATGTACCACTGCACTGGGAGCTTGGGCTTTCACATATACACTTCAGGAGAACATAATTTAGTTAATAATACCAAGCATGTGGTTTTGCTGTGGTGCTTGGGACACTGGTGAGTTGTATTTCAGAGGGAAACGACACATTGTAAATTAGAATTATAATAGGCAAATATATTACGCAATGTGCCAGAGGGCAATAAGTGATAAGGACCAAAAACAAAAAAAAGAGCAAGAGAAAGATTATGGAGTGCTAGCATAGGCCTTTGGGTGGGTGACAATTTTAAATAGGCTAAGCTCTCTTGAGTATTGGCATTGGGGAGCAGCCAAACCTCATAGGATGTGAAGGAATTCACAGTACAGACGTCTACCCTTGTTAAATCTGGGTCAGTGGAGAACAGTGGATATTACTGAGAAGCTATAGAAGATGTGGCTTAGAGACAGATGATCTTGATTTAAGTTCTACCTTTAGGCAGATCTGCCTTTGCATTGAGTTGCTTAACCAGAACTCACATTTAGTGATTGACAGAAAGCCGCGTACCTCAGAGGTGATTGCTCCTGTTATAGATGAGAAATGAGAGAGCAATTGCTTCACTGTTACAGTTGAACTCCGAGAATCACTGTTCAGGTGTCAGACTTGTCATGTGTGGCTAGTCCTTACCCCATTCCCAAAGGCTTTTCCTTGTTCCTTTGGCTGCACTATTCCATCAATAGACCAGCACTTGCTTTGGTGAGGAAGATCAGTAGTAACCACATTAATTAAATTGATAAATATGTCACATATCCACTTTCCAAATGAATATCTAGATGAGGTTGCGATTGCTTTTAGTGGTGAGTAAAGCAAAAATTCTTGATGAAATACTGCAGCCTTGCACTAATGTGAAATATCAAAGAAGTATTTCAGGAGCATGCTCTCAACATTATATAAGCAAGTAATCCTGTCAACTTTTCATTATCCATGCTAACAGAAAATGAAAGCAGCAATGATGATCGTATGATTATGTATACATTCTCTCCCAGAGAAAGGGAAGTGTGGCAATTGGAAAATGGAAGAAGTAATTCTCAACATGAGCAGCCACGGAGGTGAAGAAGATGTTACTGAAGGTCAGGCAAATTAACCTTGTGTCACTCAGAGCCAGCCATGAAGGGAAGTGAGCTCAAAGCAACATTATCGGCATTCATTTTACTGACAGAGTGGATAGTAAGATGAGGGGTCCCTTTAACATTTGCTTTAGAAAAAAAGTAATGGGTAGAATACGATCCCTTTGATACGTGAATTCAATAAACACAGCCTCTTGTACCTTAGACCCTGGGCTGACCTCTGTGGGGAGTCAACAATCCAGTCTCCAGCCCCCCCCCCAAGGGATTACAATGTGCTTTGCAAACCAACACAGCTCAGTATGAAAAGTCCCACACAGAGCACTCTGCAGCACGCTCAAAACAGAGGGCAAGCATGGCATGCGACATAGGCTTCCTAGGGGCAGCCCAAACTTGCTTGCTATGCTATCACAATGTCACTCAATACTCAGTCGTGAAGCTGTTTCTTTGTGTTAAACATGCACTCATGCTAAAAGCTCTTGGATGAACCGAATTTATTCTGAGCTTGAACACTTTGAACTCTGGTATAAAACAGATACAAGCAAGGTCATTAGAGGTATCGTGAAGACCTATCCAGGAACCACAAGTCTGTTCCATTGGTTCTGAGGAGTGTTGGAAAGAGTGTGGTATACCCAGTGTCGGGGAGGATGATGGGTAGGGATGTGGCAAGTGAGATAATAGGACTGAAACACTAAGGTGAAGGAACCACATGTGGGGGAGACTGACAAACGTTTCCCTTTTGGCTGCAGTCTACAGCTGGTGAGCAAGTGGATGGGGGTATGATGGAGAGCTGAGAGGATGCAAAATAGGCTTTATGTGTTCTGGGAAGAAATTTGGGTTCATTCTATGTACAATAGGCTATGTTTGAGGGATGAATGGAATTATTCAATGATTCAAGTGACAAAGTAGTGTGTGAAAAATTGAGATATGTGTATATGTGCAAGGGTTGGGGCTTAGATTCAGGGCCTCATATGCTTGCTCAGCTTTTCTGCTCACAGCTGTTGGTTGTCTCTACCTTTTGAGCCACGCCCTCTTGTTAAGCTGGAGCTTAACCTCAGCCTCTTGAGCAGCTTAGGATGGTAGGCAAGAACCTCCAGTGCAGAGCAGAACATTAAGATTTTTGAGTCATTCTCTGACCTTCATTTGAATAGTTCATTGAAGTGGGCAAAGATTGCGAGTAGTAGAAACCACATTGGGGGTTTCAGTATTAGATTTGGCAGGGAAAACAATGTTAAGATCTGAATCAGGACTGAGAATGTGAGAGGAGAAATAATTTACAAGACTTGCTAATTGCTTGAGTGACACGGGGCTTCAGTGGAAGGGCACAAGCAAGCCTTTATGTCTTCTAGCCAAAGCAATTCAGCCAGGCATTTCCAGGATGTATGGGTAATTCAGAGAAAGTGAAGGCATAACAAATCCAGAGACTTTCCATGTGGCATTCTTTAATGGATTTTAAAAACCTCTTGAGTGTCACTATCATTTTTTTCATAATCATTTTAGTCTGTGTTGGCACAGTTTTGTAGAGCTTGAGAAAGTGAAAGTTAGTCTCAATTAGCTTGATGTATAACAAGGAAAGATCTATGTAAGCTTTTGGAGTTTTTTTTTATGTTTCTTATAAATTATGCCGATTTATTGCTTCTTTTTTTTTTTGCCAGTATCAAGGTTTGAACTCAGGACCTTAAGTTATTCTTGCTTGCTCATCTGGTGCTCTTACCACTTGAACCACAATTCCAGCCCAGATGTTAGCTGGCGATTTTGGAGAGGGAATCTTTTCGACTTTTCTGCCCAAGCTAGCTTTGAACTGCAGTTCTTCATATATCAGCCTCCTGAGTACCTAGCATTACTGAAGTGAGCCACCAGCTCAGTTTTCTTCTTTGTAGCCTCAGGGAGTAAGTCTCATGCCTTCCAGGCAAATGCTATAGCAATTGAGCCTTGCCTTCGGCAAATTTAAATGATATTAGATGAACAATGATACAATCTTCGCAGATTTTATGTTCTCTTTCCAAAGAGAATTAGTGTTGGCATCATGGCCACAGGAGCTAAGGTAACAGTTTTATGTGGAGTAAGAGATATAACTGGTCTTTGCTTCAGCTTAATTTAACTCATGTCACTACTTAGGATTAGTGGCTTTGGGGATCATTAATTCATCTTAAAGCATAAGAGTCTCTTTTATTTTTATGGCGATGGAGCACATTTATACGGACTTCTTCTACAGAGCAAGTGTTATGATAGTGGTCCATTGGTAATGCTTAGTTGACAAAATACTTGCTATTTCAGGCCCCTTTCAGCCTGAAGAGTTTTTGTTCTGAATCTTTAAAGGCATGACAAAAGCAAAGCAGGGAGGGGGGGATCTTTAATGGTACTTGCTTTGAGATTAGAATGTGATTACTTTAAAACACTATAGGTAGGTTTATTGCCTTCAACTATTTTTAAACTGTCATTCTTTTTCTTTTCCTTTCTTTTTCATGCTTACTCTAACTGCTTGTTGAGAAGAAGAGCTGCTAGAGAGTTCACTTTGATTCAGGATCTGTAGAGAATATTTGGAAAAGATAGGATTATTTTTTGACCTAGCGATCATTCCTCCTCCCTAGACCTTCCGAAAGCTTGACATCGGAGCAAGGCTTAGGTGTACAATGAACAGTTGGGAAGGTGTGTGATTTTGGAAAGAACTGGCAGCTCCTGTGATTGTGAAGGGTAACACACACATATATATTTCATATCATCTTTTGCTCTTTGAATATGTGTAAGAGGAATATGGATGGTTTTTAACAGTGTTGTCTAAAAGTTTGTGATCTGAGTCTTGTTAGTTTCCAGCTGTTGACCCAAGATATAGGTTGAGGTAAGAGCTCTTACCCGACCATACATGCTCTGATAGGCTTCTGCAATCATGAATCTTTGTCCATTGCTGCGTTGAGTTAGAATGTCAATCAGCACGTCTTTGTCACATTCTGGAAAGAATCATAGTTGAAGATTACTAAAACTACTTGGACGAGCCAGTTGTGGTAGTGTTTACCTGCAATTGTAGTTACTAGGATGACAGGGACAAGAGGATCATGAGGATGAGGTCCAGCCAGGGCAAAAGTAGGGAGACCCTGTCTTAAAAATCAAATAGACAAAAGGGATGGGCTGTAGTTCAACAGCAGTTGCCTAGCATTTATGAGGTTGTCGGCTCAAATCTCAGTCTCTCTCTCTCTCTCTCTCTCTCCATACACACACACACAATATGAGCGGGAAGAACCCATTATTTAAGCATCAGTACCCATATGCAAACATTACCCCTGATGTCAATTTAACGCAGAGTACAATTTAAACTAAAATTCAAAATCACCTAGAAATGCTAAATAAAACTTAGGTTCCTCTTATTTTTCATTTTAGTACAGTTACTATAGATTACCTTTATTCCAATCTCATTAAAAAAATAAACATAAGAGAGTAAGATAGCTTTTCTTCAGCTACCTAGGCTATCCTACCCCCACAAATAAAAAAGGGAAGGGGGTTTTCTTGACCTCTAAGCTGATAAATATATAAATTAAGACCCCATCTTCTTCCGTGTTCTGTTAGACAGAAGTTGCCCACAATTATCAGGCATTATAAAACCATGGCTGTTCTTGTCAGACCTGCAGAGGAAAGAGGGTTTAAAGAGGAGGACATTCTGAAAGTGCATGGCCACTGCTCACGGGGGGGGGGGTAGGGGAGGGAGGGGGCAGAGAGAGAAGGGGCTGTGAACCCCTCATTCTTTGTAGGTAACACAACCTCTCTCCCTGATAATGTAGGCCCTGTTTCAGGGTGATGCATCTCCTCATCTATCATATTATCATATCATAGCATAGCATAGCATTATATGATAGCCTTGATACATAGGGTAGAGGCCCACCTGTGTCTCAGGAACTGAAGCTAGACTTGAGCAGTTCTAGAGAACTGTTAAATGCTATTAAAGAGCTGTTAATGTGAGTGATAAAGTTTTATTATAAGCACCCTCTTTTGATGTTTATTTTACCTTTAAAGAAGCTGAGATGTAGAGGTTAGCACAGCTTGAGTCCCTAAGTGACAGCTGTTGGGCCCTTCCTAGGGCCTGGCTGCATGGAGGGGCAGGCCGTTGGGATGTCCTCATGATGGGGCTAGAGTTCGGCTCTGCCTCTTGGAGTCACTACCCCAGCAACTTTCACCATCATGAGCTTTAATATCTTGTAGAAAATCCTGACTCCACTTCTACTCAAATGGAGGAAGCTTTTTCCCCTGGTGGCTCAGCAAACGACAAAGACTGGGCAAAGACAGTGTTTTGTTTACATAAGCAATGGCCATGTCTGTCAGTATGAGAGCCTGTCATGATTGGTGCCAAATGGTCCTCTATTTGCTGGTAGACCTGCCTTTATCGGCGCAGGTACCCCTGTCTCACCCTCCTCTTAGTATGCAAGTGGGCTGGTTCAGCTCCCTTTGTAAGTCAGGCAGATGACACCTCTCCTGTTCTACTCTTGGTATGGCCACATGAGGTCCTATAATGGTTTCTCTAGAGTGGTCTTTTCTTGCCCACTTTTGATTTCTATCATGTGTTGAGCAGGTGAGCCAGGAGCATGAAGAAAAGAGGTGATGGTAGAGGCATTAGCAATGAGGGAGATGGGGCATCAAGGTCACTTTTGTGGAAGCATCAGAGCTATCATGGACAGTTGTGCCATCCATGCCAATGGCAGTCATAGCAGCATTGGACTAACAGCTTTCACAGTACAGCCAGCAGTGTTAGGACCAAGGCTGGAGCCAAAGAAGGCCAATCAGAGTCTGAGTGCTGGCCTTGGGGTGATCAGAAGGTTGGAGTGGGCATCACTGATTGCTGTGCTTTTGGTAATGGCAGCCACAGGAGCATCGGCAGGGCCAGCGGTCGTGATGTGCGAAGTCAGCCTCGAGGGCTCAGGCAGCACTGGGGAATGACATCAGTGATGGTAGCTGAGGGCCCCACCAGGAGCAGTGACAGTACAGGTGACAGTCAAAGGTAGCAGTGGAGGCAGAAGATCTACCGCCATGAACTAGGGGGTGGCACAGAACAGCAGTCGCATCAGCTGCCAGGATAAAACCGATGGGAAGCCAGAATGAAGAGGTTGTAGGACTGGTTAAAGGAAGAGCCCTGGTGGAAATCACCCTGGTGATGTAGGGTTGAGGGTCAATGCGTCCAAGGCCTATATAAGAATTGCAACACTAGAGGGCAATATTTGCTCACTGTTAGTCACTGCTCCTGCTTGCTAAGGTTAAAAAAAGGTGACTTTAGGGCTTGAAATAACTGAAGAAGATTAACTTGACCTATCAAACGTCTTTCTTTTTTTGTTTGTTTAAGGAAAAATATGAAGGACTTGAACTCAGGGCTTCTCGCTATCACTTGGCTTTTTCAATCTCAGCTGGCAGTCTACCACTTGAGCCACAACTCCACTCTCTTGAGCTTTGCTAGTTAATTGGAAATAAAAATCTCTCAATTTTTTTTTCTCCTTGGGCTGACATTGAACCTTAATCCTCAGATCTCAACCTCCTGAGTCACCAGGATTACAGGTGTGAGCCAAGAGTTATGATTGTTCATTATCTTTCCACAATTAATTAAGAACAATTTTTCATAGAAGTCAAAATTTTATTAAAATGTTTAAATTAGAATAACTGCAAATGGGAATCAGTCTTGAGAAAGTCTTCATTTTTGTTACTAACATGATATATTAGTCACATTATTTGGGTCTTTTTCTTTTCTAAAACAGTAAAGATTTGAAGAATCACTTGCTAGTGCAAAATATATTTGAGTAAAATTATTGACATTTATATTGTTATTAGTTTCTCAAGTTGTATTATTTCACTGAAGAAATTACACCATTTTTTACATTGTCTTCAGAAAATCAACTGTCATTGTCATTGAAATAATACATAATAGAAAACAACAGGATTTGTATTCTTCTCAAACTCACAGAAACATTCACCAAGGCAGACGAGATTTTGGGCCATAAAACATATGTAACAATTTTTTAATAGAATGGAAGAAAGACAGCCTCTTCAGTAAATGCTGCTGGCAAAATTGGTTAAACATCTGTAGCAAACTAAAGCTAGATCCTTATCTATCACCCTGAACCAGAATCAACTCCAAATGGATCAAAGACCTCAAAGTCAAAGTAGACACCCTGAAAACATTATAGGGAGGAATAGGAGAAACTCTAGGGCTCTTTTTCACAGGCCAAAATTTTCCTAATAAAGACCCAGAAACACAACAAATCAAAGAAAGGATGGACAGATGGGATTGCATGAAATTGCAGAGTTTCTGCATGGCAAAGGACATAGCTAGTAAGATCAATAGAAAGCCCATGGATTGGGAGAAGATCTTCACTAGCCAGACAACAGACAATGGTCTCATATCTAAAATATACTTAGAACTCAAAAAACTAAATCCCCAAACAATAAACCCTCAAAGAAACAACTGCCCGAGAAGTAAGTGGGCTAAAGATGTAAAGAGAAACTTCTCTGAAGAGGAAAGAAGGATGGCCAATAGACACATGAAGAAATGCTCAATCTCTCTATCCATAAAAGAAATGCAAATCAAAACAACACTGAGATACCACTTCACCCCTGTTAGAATGGCTATAATCAAGAACTCTAATAACAACAGATGCTGGAGGGGATGTGGACAGAAGGGAACCCTACTGCATTGTTGGTGGAAGTGTAAACTTGTTCAACCACTTTGGAAAGTAGTATGGAGGTTCCTCAAAAGACTCCACATAGTGCTCCCCTATGACCCAGGAATCCCACTTTTGGGCATTTATCCAAATGATCACAAACAAGGCTATACTAAAGCTATCAGCACAAGTATGTTTATTGCAGCATTATTTACCATAGCTAAAATATGGAACCAACCCAGATGCCCCTCATTAGATGAATGGCTCAAGAAAGTGTCTTGTATATGTACAATGGAATTCTATGCCTCCATCAGAAAGAATAACATCACCTTATTTGTTAGGAAATGGAAAGACTTGGAAAAATTATACTAAGTGACATAAGCCAGGCCCAAAGAAACAAAGGTCCCATAGTTTCCCTTACTTGCAATAACTAGTATAAGTCTAGACAAGCAGAAAAGGTCAAAAGCTATGTACATATGACTATATAAGATGATGTAAAGTGAAATGAACCCCAAGATAGGGACACAAGTGGTTTTTTATTTCTTGGTATTGTTTTTAATGTATTTAAATTGTACTATGTGATTTTTTTTGTTTCTTTTGTATGTTCTTCCCCCATAGTATAATCCCTGTTTTCACTGTATTTGATGTTGGTGCCCTGCATCTTGTATATACATTTTTCTAATTTGGGGAGGGGAAAGGAAATAACAAAATGCTTAAATAAGGATACAGGTTGACCCATGTAACAATGAGATGTACAAGACACTATGTTGAAAACCAACTCTATAACTTGCAGAGGGGAAGGAGGAGTTGTGGAGGGGGGAAGGGAAGGGATGGTAAGGGAAAAAACAAGGAGGAGGAAACAATGCTTGACAGGAAATATATTAATTATTTTACTCATGTAACTGTAACCCCTCTGTATAGTATTTTTACAATAAAACATATATAACATTTTAAAAATCAAAGTATAAGAAGTTATACTAGAAATCAAGAAGAAGCCAGCTAGAAAACTCCAAAATGCTTGTAGATTAAACAACACAACAACATATGGTGAACAAAATTTCAGACAAGAAGAAAATTCAGCTCATAGAAAAATTTTCTAACATTGGCTGCACTATAATAAAAGAAGAACTATCTGAAACTAGTTTTCAGCTTCTACTTTGTTAGTATAAAAAGAACAACAATTATGCCTAAAGTAAGCAAAATAAAGAAAAAATAATACTTACTAAAGACAGTAGAGAAATTATTAGCAGTGAAAAATCAGTATCATCAAAAACTAGCTCTGATTTCTCCCTTTAGATCAAGATGCATTGTATTTATGACTTGTAGAATTGCAACCTCTTTGTACAACATGATAGTAATTTGAAGAACAAACAAAATTATTTCTTTATGAAGATCAATAAAAATCTATATTTCTCCACTAATCAGGCTCAGAAAGAAAGACAGGAAACCCTTCTGCTGACAGACATAAAGGAGGGTCCATCAAATTTCATGGTCATTGTAAATATAACAAAAGCATATGATGAACAATTCTATGCACGCACAGGTGGTAATTTTGATGATGTGAATCAATTCTTTCAAAGATACAATCCAAACTCATACAAGGGAGAGCAGATCATCTGAATAGTCTTATATGTATAAAAGAATCAATAATTAAGAACCAACCCAGAAAACATCCAGACCAGTTGTATTCACTTCAGAGAGAGAGGAGTTCTGCAAACTTTTCAAAAAGAAATACTGCTTCTCTTTCATCTATCCCATGTTATAAAAGCAGAGGGAATATTTCCCAACTCATTCTCTGAGGACATTATTACTCTAATACCAGAACCAGAGAAAGATGTCAAGAGAAAAGAAAACTAGTAACCAATATCTTCCATGAACAAATACAATGTCTATTCAAGATAAAACTGTCAGCCAGACAGAAACAGAAAGAATCTTCAAATTGATAAAGATGATATTCAAAATCCTACAGCCAACTTCATACTTAAGGATAGAATGATCCAGTACAAGGAAGAATATCTAGTCTTAAAAAGCTCTGAATTTTGCTTTGAAGGTTAATTCTGAGTGTTCTTTGTCAAGATTTAGGACTGTAAGTCAAAAATGGCTCCAGTTGTCTAAGATCTCATGGATGTGACTTGACAGTTATGTAAGTTAACAGGTCCAAGATCAATACCGTTTCCCATTTTTTCTAGCAAGTAGCTGGAAATTAACAGCGAGTAACTGTTAATGATGGTGAAGTAGAAAGTTGACATTATCATTAGGGAATGTTAACGGATCACTGTTCTTTTCTTACACTGAAGATTAATAAATTTTTATACAAGTGAAGACTAATTTATATTTGCTTGTTGCTTTTTGCTTTCAGATTGTTTTAATCAAGGCACCAAGGGAAAGCATTAGTAATTATTTTCCAATTGTATTGTTGAAGGCATCATGACAGAAAGACTGTAAAGCATATGACGCTGTGATCTTGCTCTGTAGGCTGCAGGAAAACTCCACCATCAAACCCACACTCCTGTAATCCTTGGACTTAGAATTTTGGACAAGCCAAAGCTATCATCAACAAAGGGAATTTGCTTCTTGGCTCTAAAATATCAATGACAGGAAAACTAAAACTGAAGCAAAGAATTTTAGGGGTGTGTGAATAGATTCTTCTGGCCTATAGCTTTAAAGCAAAAATTGTACCACTGAAGAAAAGTTAGTCTATAACTTCTTCTCTATATTGTTTTAGTGGTAATTAATATCTTAGAAGACATGAAAGAATAGCAAACTCTTGAAGTCAACTTTAAAAATCATAAAGGCCTTATTGTTTTCCTATGGGACACTGCTACTGAGTAAAACACACTGCTGTATATTTTATGCACACTCACACACACACACACACACACACACTCATACATACACTCCCACATACACACTGTGCAAAGGTGACCTTGTCTTTAAACCGAGAGCTTACTTTTTTATGAACAAAAGCTTTGCATGTTTTATGAAATCATTTCTCTCACATTATTTGTCTTTGTGATTTGAAAATAGATTTTACTAAGGGAGAAGTTACATTTTTACGGTTCTACACATCTTTTAAAAATGAATGCAACACGTTCCCTCTCCTCCTCTTTCTCTATTCCTTTTCTAAACCCCAGCTTCACTTGGTGAAGCATGCATTTGTTTAGCCAAACTCCAAGCATTCACTCAGCAGGCAGGCCAGACGGGCACTGCCTCTCGATGTGAGCAGAAATGAAGGAAGGAGGAAAGCACGAGTCTGTGGGGATTGTACAGCCCGCGGCGCCTGGACTGCTCAGAGACAGAGTCAGAGCAAGGCTTACCCTGACAGCTTGTGGAAGGAAGACAATTTGAACCAGAAGTTGACAGGGGTTCTTTGGGGTTGAAATCTAATACCATGGTGAAGGCAAACATGGCAGGACTTCTTCACCGTTCCTGTCTTTTTCTATAATGTTTCTTCTCGGTCTACTTTTTTGCTTGCTTTTTTTTTTGTTTTAGTTTTTGTTGAAACTGTGCTTGCCTTTTGTAAAGCATCAAATAATTTATGAATGGAGTATTATCTAAAAGTAAAGCAAGACAATAGTAATGTAAGAGTAGAGAGTCCTAGACTTACGAAATCCTTGCAGGGCAGCTCCTATCAGCTGGGCATCCATGACGGGGTTAAAGTTAGGAGCTGGGAAGATGGTTCCTTGAACCTGGTAGGGGAGAGAGAGAGAGAGAGAGAGAGAGAGAGAGAGAATTATATTAATTCAGAGGTTCAACCTGGTTTCCAGGAATATACATAGGAAAATATAGACTGTGTTATTACTATAAGACACACTCAACTCCATTAAACAAATGTCCCATTTGTGTACTAAACATGGAAAGCAAATTTGCTCAAGTTTAGTTTACCCAATGACCTCTACTCTGTGGATTTCTATTATTCAATAAGAAACAGAGACTCTAGTAGAAAAATGCAAGAATCAAATTTGAAATAGGTGTTCATAATGAAGAGCAAATATTTTCTTGGGGGGGGAGGGAAACTGGAGATTATTTAATATACACATAAACTAGAACTGCATTGAGAAGATTGGCACTGTTTATAGGAATTCAAAGTGGCATTTGTCCCCATGGATAGTTTTTGCACATAAGTGGGTCCTAAAATTGTATGAGAGAAAATGGAAGTATTTGGATTTGGATTAGATGATTCATAAAAATCTGGGCGATACAGATAGGGAGGAGACTCTTTAGCTGCAGTTCATAACAGCAGAGGAAAACATAAAAAATCGGAGTGACATTCCGTATAAGTGTTCTGTCTAGCCAGTAATAAAGTGGCAGACCGTTTAAGGCTGGCTTTGCATCCGCAGGGTCTATTGCTTCAGATAAAGCCAGGCAGGACTGGGTTCCATATGATCCCACGCAGCACGTGAGAGCCGTCCATCAAAATTTATTAAGGAGGCCAGTTCTTCACATTTGCTGTCAGTGTGCCCAGGAACATTGAAAAATAAAAAATGCCTTTCATCGTGAATGAGTCTCCTAGGACTTGTAAGGACCTCGTTCACTGAGCTCTGCTTGCAGCAATCTGAGGTGGAGAGAAAGCGTTCCAGCATTTGTTGTCAAAGAGAAAATTAATTAGTCAGTGAGAACAAGACTGGACTATAATTTCTTCTTAAGCGAATAATAGAATATACCAACAGAGACATGGTTATAAAAGGATTTTTGAGGATGAAAGCCACAGTTTGAGTTAAAATGAAGAATTAAGTTCCTTTTGGGGGTTTGGATTCACCGGCATTGGTAAACCTGAAGTTGTCTGTGTGAACTAGACCATAACCTTACAGTGATTTGAATATGGCCCTATTTTCATACTTAGACATAGGGCTATGTGAGTGGAATGAATGTATGCCTCCCATGTTTATATGGACTGATTTATGCAATTAAGAGAAGAACCTTCCCTGCATCCTCTTCTCTGCATCTCACATTGCTCATTCATTTACAAATAAATGTGTAATTTACTTCTGAGATCTCCAGTTGAGTGTATATTTCCTAGGAGAAAAGTTCCCTGCAGCCTAATCCTAACCGAGAAGGCATTATGAGGACTTTTTGTCTTGTGATATCATACTTCCTCCTCTGAGGCATTCTGGGTACTACAACCATGCTGCCCCCAATGTGTAAATAAATAAGAGAGGCCCATGGGAGGAGGAGGAGGGCAGGGACTTACTGTGTCCACACAGCTATGAAGAAGGAACTTGAATCCCAATATGTCTAGGGACCAAGCCAGAGCACATCAACCCTTCCCCTCATTTCTTGCAGCAATTCCTTTGAAGTGTGTCAGCTTTATCGTGGCCCATCCTCTCTTGGAAGTAATTTGTTTGGCGCTGCAATTAAATTGCACGCCTTATAAATTAGAGATAATGCTGTACACAGTACTCTTACTCCTCAAGTTCGAGGTCTAGGACTTGGCCTGGGCCTGTACTAATTGATGGTTTGAAGTGTATAAAAGACTTCAAGTTTAGCTCAGCAATTAGCAGAAGAGGTAGATGGCTGTCTCTTAACCTGTGCTGTACGGATGTAGTGTTCGTGTCAATTGCAAAGCCCAGTGTGAACCACTCCACCCAGGCATCTGGAGATTATGGAAGCCAGGCGGCGGCTACACACGGGCCCACGGAAGAGTGGCTGCAGCTGAATAGGAACTTTCCCTTGCAGATCAGAAATTCTGGGACCACTGCTGCAGTGCAGCTGTTAAAGAGGAGAATCTGCTAAATGCAGCAGAGGATAGGCAAGGGTACGTGCAGACAGTGTTGCTTACTTTGTGATTCTGGGATGTAGAAGTCTCTCTCTTTTTCCCCTTAAGTTTTGATTTTCAGAGATAGTTTTATGGGTTGACACTATTGCCATCATTTTTAATATATTAAATCATATTATTTCCAGCCCTATTTCCTCATCTCAAATCTAAGTAAGAATTAAATGCTTAGAACTAAAAAAGCCCAGAAGACCTATGAGCAAGAAGTATACATTTGATGAAAAAAATATATCAAGAGAAATAGTGGATACAAATAAGGCTATTAATATTTAAATAAGAGCATTATAGACATGAAATATCTCCAGCTAGTTGAAATTTTATCATCTTTTCTTCTGTCAACCAGATAATTTAGAATTATACTATAAAGTATCAAGGAACACAGATAATGGTAATAATAATAAATAAATAATCTTGCTCTTTGGTATTCCTTATTTTTCAAGTAATGAATTTACTTTTTGTGTCTTGAAATTTAAATGAGCTACCATTTACTATTTTCAGTCCTTTGAATACTCCTGTCTTTACATTATAGGAACCTTATTTGTGATGTAGATATTATTAAAAATTATAAAATAAAAGCAAATTAAGGAACAAAGATCCTTTATTCTCCACAAGGGATGGGTCCATTTGGAGAATCACTCTCTCTGCACAAACTAAAGATTTATAGCTCCTCAATAGGTCCTCCATAAAGTCCTTTCAAGCCCCTTTATAAAGATCTGCTAATCTTGACCCACGTTGCAGAGAACACAGTATTCTTTTTTTTTTTTTAAGTTGGTCATAGGGCTTGAACTCAGGGCCTGGGCACTGTCCTTGAGCTTTTTTTTTTTTTTTTACTTAAGGCTAGCATTCTACCACTTTGAGTTATAGCACCTCTTTCAGTTTTCTGGTGGTTAATTGGAGATAAAAGTCTCACAGACTTTCCCATCTGGACTGGCTTTGAACCCTGATCCTCAGATCTCAGCCTCAAGTAGCTAGGATTACAGGTGTGCACCATCAATGCCTAGCTTATAGTATTCTTGCTAGCTACATCCTGTCTGAAAGATCTGGCTCTTCCATTTACCTTGGAAAACTATAGAGCACCTAGGCCTTGGCCAACATGTTATATCTTATAAGGAAGCATCTTCACCTGAAACAAATTCTAGTGCTTTGCTTTGTTTGTTTGCTTGCTGGCAATCAATTTAATTATTTCTCCCTTTCTTAAACTTCTTTTTAAAAGAGAAAATATTAAAATCATTTCTTAAAATGTTCTTCTTCCCCCCAAATAGAGAATCAGTGTCCTTACCCGTCATCCTCTCCAGAAACATTTCTTTCTTGGTTAAAACTACATCATATATTTCAGTTTAAGTACATGTCTGAAAGTCCCCTTTCACATCACAGATGGCTCAGAAGGAGAAATCTTCTCTAGTTCAGAATAGATTCCGTCAGGCTTTAGAAGAAGTCCTTTGAGTGGAATAAGAGTGAGATTCCCTATAATTTCGGCAATAACTCCTCTTTCGTTAGTGCCACTTATTAGAGAGGTAGGAAGGCAGAATCCTGCTGCTCTGGACGGGCGGTCACATTACAGTCGCGTCCACTGTGGATTGTTCTAAGAGGATTTTTGAGGAGTGGAGAGCTCAGCATCAATCAGAGTGAGCAAGGACCTGTGGAGCTTCAACAGCAGCCTCCCAGTACGGAGACCTCAGGGCGGGCACCTCTCCCTGGGAGACTGCACATCTGGTCAGGGTCTGCATAACCATTTCAGCTGAGAGGGAAGGCTCAGGCTTGTGAAAACCTTTCTGAAAGTTCAGTTGTTATAGTATCTCATGCTAAGGGCCTCTTCATGCCCCTCTGTTCTTCATAACTTTGTAATAGTTCCCAGTCCAGGGAGAAGGCAGAACTATACTTGTGGGTGTCAGTATCTATGCGTAGGGAATGGGGTCTGTAGTTGGTCAAAGGCAGACTGTGATAAGAAAAAGAAAATGAACGACAGGAATATAAAACAGGTCCTTTCTGGATTATAAATGCTAGTAGCAGGAGAGAGGGGTGACCAGAGAAAGAGTAAGGGAGGGTGAAATATGGTTGAAATGCTTAATGAAAAGGAAGCAATAAGGCTTTTTGAGGTTGGTTAGGAAAGGGGAAGCAGGGACAAAGGAGAGTTCTGGAGGGGCTGAGTCTGATCAATGTACATTATAAGCGTATGTGCACCTGGCAAAGAGAAAAGCCTTTGCACAACAAATTAATGCTAATAACATAAAAGGAAAGGAGAAGGAGAAATACCATTTATATATCCTTGCTGCTATATAATACTCAAAAGTGATCCAAGTAAAAGTTGAGTCTGTAAAGAAGTAGAGGGAAGAAGACATAATTCAATGCAAACATTCCACATTCTCCAAACAACAGTCAACATCAACTAACTTTTCAATATAGACCAAGAACTGTGCAAGATAGTGACCTTGTCATGTGTGAACCTCCAAAGCTACTGTTGAAATATCCCCAGGGTGATGGTGCTGTGAAAGGTAGCTCTCTCCAAGAGTCAGAGTCCTCAGGAGTAGGAATTCACTTCCTTATACATGGTTCATGGGAGGACAATGTCCTTTTCAGCTCTTCTACCTTCTATCATATGAAGACACAGCTTTCCTCCCATCCAGAAAATATAGTTGGTAAAACAGCATCTTGGAAACATAGACTGAGGATCCATCCCACAAAAACTTTCTGATACCTTGATCTTGTCCCTCCTAGACTCTTGAAATATGAACCAGTAAGTTCCTAGTTGTTGGGTTTTGTTGTGGATGAATTATACAATCTTGGGTATTTTGCTAAAACGTCATAGATTATACTAGGACAGTGCATTTTCCTTCCAAAGGATTAAAATTCCCTAGCGAATGGGCTTGGTACTGTTACCACACAGGAAGAAGTGGAGGTATGGGGAGGTTT